AATTAATTCACCTCAAAAAGGCCTTCTCGCCTACTTGCGATTGACTGAGTTCATGACTTTACAAGATCCGAGATCATGTGGAAACTATGCTGGCTGTCAGATCCCCTAACCCAACCCTTGTTTGTGTGAACAATCTAAAGCTATAAGCACATCATAAGCAAAGGTTTTTCTCCTTTTCTATAATCAATAAACTGATAAAGTTCCATGCTGGCAGTTAGACCCCCAAACGCAACCCTTTGATCGTGCCAACAATCTAAAGCCATAAAGCACGTTATAGGCAGAATCCCCTAAAACCCAGTTCTCATCCGAGGCTGAATCCCCACTTCTATTAGTATACAGCCATTTTTGTTTTTGTTTGCATGATATTTACTGAAATTATTGCTCTCATTTGGATGCATTAAAGATAAAATGTCATTGGTATATATGCAGAGTCAAAAGTCTCGTCGTGAAGAACTCCGTATCCACATTGCGAATATATATCGCACAGTTGCAGAAAAAATTTGGCCTGGATTGCTAGGTCGCAAACCGGTTTTTCGCCTTCATTATTTGAAGTTCATTGAAGAAACAACTAGGCAGATATTGACAGCATCTGCAGAAAGTTTCCAAGAGATGCAACCTCTCCGTTTTGCACTTGCTTCTGTTCTAAGGTCTCTGGCTCCTGAATTTGTTGATTCCAAGTCAGAGAAATTCGATGTTCGAACTAGAAAGAGACTTTTTGATCTCCTTCTCTCCTGGAGTGATGATACAGGTGGAACATGGAATCAGGATGGTGTTAGTGATTACCGACGTGAGGTTGAACGCTACAAGTCCAGTCAACATGCTCGATCGAAGGATTCTATTGATAAACTTTCATTTGATAAAGAATTGGGTGAACAGGTTGAGGCAATACAATGGGCTTCTATGAATGCAATGGCTTCACTATTATATGGACCTTGCTTTGACGACAATGTGAGAAAGATGAGTGGCCGGGTAATTGCTTGGATCAACAGCCTATTTATTGAGCCTGCTCCAAGGGCACCATTTGGTTATTCGCCAGCTGATCCAAGAACTCCATCTTATTCAAAATATACTGGTGAAGGTGGGCGAGGAGTAACTGGCCGTGATAGGCATAGAGGTGGTCATCTTCGTGTTTCTCTTGCAAAAATGGCTCTGAAGAATCTTCTTCTCACAAATTTGGACTTGTTTCCTGCTTGCATCGATCAGGTAAGCGTTGATGTTCTCTAAGAAGGCAATATGTTTTATGACTGGTTCTTAGTAAAACTAATTGAAAATTTATGACCATGTCAGATAGCAAAGCATATCATACTTCCTTCTGCATTTTTATCTCTTTGTCAAGGTGATCATTTTCTCTCATATTTACATCGTGGCAATTGTGCCTATCCAAGCACACTTAGCGATCACAGTATCATTTTGAACTGGTAAACACTTCTGAAGTGGCTAATTTTGGACAACACTTTCTTTGCACGTGTTTGTTGCCTTCTTTTACTTTTCAATTCTCTTATTTTGATTATTGTTGACTTCTGTTATTGGAATGCTAATAAGTTTATATTCTAATGCAGTGCTACCACTCAGACGCCGCAATAGCTGATGGCTACTTCAGTGTTCTGGCTGAAGTCTACATGCGTGAAGAGATACCAAAATGTGAGATTCAGAGACTATTGAGCCTTATCCTTTATAAGGTGGTTGATCCATCTAGACAAATTCGCGATGATGCTCTTCAAATGCTTGAGACACTCTCTGTCCGTGAATGGGCTGAGGATGGTACTGAGTGCTCAAATAGCTATCGAGCTGCTGTTGTTGGCAACCTTCCTGATTCTTATCAACAGTTCCAATACAAGCTCTCTTGCAAACTTGCTAAAGATCACCCAGAGTTGAGCAAGCTTCTTTGTGAAGAAATAATGCAGAGGCAGCTTGATGCAGTGGACATAATTGCACAACATCAAGTTCTAACCTGCATGGCCCCGTGGATAGAGAATCTCAATTTCTGGAAACTAAAGGATTCAGGTTGGAGTGAAAGATTATTAAAAAGCCTTTATTATGTAACATGGCGTCACGGTGATCAGTTTCCGGATGAAATTGAAAAGCTATGGAGCACAATTGCTAGTAAGCCCAGGAACATAAGTCCAGTCCTTGATTTCTTGATTACAAAGGGGATTGAAGATTGTGATTCTAATGCATCAGCAGAAATAACTGGAGCATTTGCCACGTACTTCTCTGTTGCTAAGAGGGTTAGTTTATATTTAGCTAGAATTTGCCCACAACGTACAATTGATCACTTAGTTTACCAGTTGGCTCAGCGGATGCTTGATAGTGTAGAACCATTAAGACCTGCTGCAAATAAGGGTGATGGTGGTGGAAACTTTGTTTTGGAATTCTCTCAGGTTCCTGCAGTGGCACAAATCAACCCTGTTGTGGACACCCAGCCTCACATGTCACCTTTACTAGTTCGTGGTTCTCTTGATGGACCACTCAGGAACACTAGCGGAAGCTTGAGCTGGAGAACAGCTGCTGTTGGAGGACGAAGTGCCTCGGGTCCATTGACTCCTATGCCTCCAGAAATGAACATTGTTCCAGTAACTACTGGTCGGTCTGGGCAACTTCTGCCATCATTGGTAAACATGTCAGGGCCACTAATGGGGGTGCGAAGTTCAACTGGAAGCTTGCGAAGTCGTCATGTATCTCGAGATAGTGGAGATTACCTCATTGACACTCCCAATTCTGGGGAAGATGGATTGCATACCGGGGTTGGGACTCATGGTATCAATGCTAAAGAACTTCAGTCAGCATTGCAAGGCCATCAGCAACACTCATTGACACAGGCAGACATTGCCTTGATTCTACTTGCTGAAATTGCTTATGAGAATGATGAGGATTTTCGTGAGCATTTGCCATTGCTCTTTCATGTAACATTTGTCTCAATGGACAGCTCAGAGGATATAGTGTTGGAGCACTGCCAGCACCTGCTAGTTAATCTGCTGTATTCCCTTGCTGGTAGGCATTTAGAACTGTACGATGTTGAAAATAGTGATGGAGAGAACAAGCAGCAGGTTGTGAGCCTGATTAAATATGTCCAGTCAAAGAGAGGTAGCATGATGTGGGAAAATGAGGATTCAACGGTTACCAGGACAGAGCTTCCAAGTGCAGCTCTCTTGTCTGCTCTTGTGCAGAGCATGGTGGATGCGATCTTCTTCCAAGGAGATCTTCGAGAAACTTGGGGAGCAGAGGCACTTAAATGGGCTATGGAGTGCACATCGAGACATCTTGCCTGCCGCTCACACCAGATTTACCGTGCATTGCGACCCCGAGTAACAAATGATGCATGTGTTTCTCTGCTTCGCTGCCTGCATAGGTGCTTGGGTAATCCTGTACCCTCGGTGTTGGGTTCTGTAATGGAAATATTGTTGACTTTGCAGGTGATGGTGGAAAATATGGAGCCACAAAAGGTGATACTCTACCCCCAGCTTTTCTGGGGCTGTGTGGCCATGATGCACACGGACTTTGTTCATGTTTACTGCCAGGTGCTTGAACTTTTCTCACGGGTAATTGAGCGTTTATCATTTCGCGACACGACAACAGAAAATGTGCTTCTTTCAAGCATGCCTAGGGATGAGCTTGATACACACACATCCGATAGTTCTGAATTTCAGCGTACAGAATCAAGGAATGTCTGTGAACCATCACCATCGAATGGAAAGGTGCCAGCATTTGAAGGAGTGCAGCCTCTAGTGCTTAAAGGACTCATGTCTACTGTTAGTCACGGTGTTTCAATCGAGGTTCTTTCACGAATAACGGTGCCTTCTTGTGATTCGATCTTTGGCGATTCAGAAACACGCCTCCTGATGCACATTACAGGCTTACTTCCCTGGCTTTGCTTCCAGCTCAGCCAGGATGCCGTAGTGGGACCTGCCTCACCACTGCAGCAGCAGGATCAAAAGGCTTGTTCCGTTGCAGCCAACATTGCAATCTGGTGTCGAGCAAAATCACTGGATGAGCTCGCTACTGTATTTATGGCTTATGCCTCTGGAGAGTTCAAGGGCATAGAGAATCTTCTCGCTTCTGTCTCACCATTATTATGCAATGAATGGTTCCCCAAGCACTCAGCTCTGGCTTTCGGGCACCTTCTACGGCTTTTGGAGAAAGGACCAGTTGACTATCAGCGTGTCATACTTCTTATGCTGAAGGCTTTGCTTCAGCATACTCCTATGGACGCAGCTCAAAGCCCACATATGTACGCCATTGTGTCCCAGCTGGTAGAGAGTACCCTGTGCTGGGAGGCACTTAGTGTACTGGAAGCACTCTTACAGAGCTGTAGCTCTTTGCCAGGTTCTCATCCTCCTGATGCGGGATCTTTTGAGAATGGTTTTGGTGGGACAGACGAGAAGATTTTTCCTCAGACCTCATTTAAAGCTCGCAGCGGGCCCTTGCAGTTTGCTGGAGGAATAGGATATGGTGGGGGTTCCACTCTGGCTGGGCAGGCTAATGTAAATGAATCTGGTATTTCACCTAGGGAGTTAGCATTGCAGAATACCTGTTTGATGCTAGGACGAGTACTGGATAGTTGTGCACTTGGAAGACGAAGGGATTACAGAAGGCTGGTTCCTTTTGTGGCGACGGCCGGAAACCCTTGAGACCCAAGGTATTTTTCAATCTCACGCATTGTACTGGAAGGTTATGGTAGCAGATCAGTGTAAATAGATATTTGCATAGATTTAGCGGTTGTTCCTATATGTAAGACTCTGAACTTCTCGTAGGATTGCACCAAGCTTTCCCCCTTCCATTCTTGTAAAAACGCTTAGCTCTGTAGTTAGCTCCTCTGTTGTTATAGCATATCAAGTTACTGTCACACATTCTGCTCTGAATAAAAGCATTCAATTCACCCTCAACTTGCTCAGTACAGCTGAGATTTCCAGGTCGTGAGTTGACATAAGAGATCTTTCGTTATGAGATGGATTCTTCTTCAACAGGGCATAGATGTTGCTATATAGAGCAACCAGAATTGAAAAGACACAAGGACAATCATGAAAATACTTGATCTTCCCCCTCCGTAGCCATGCCATAACGATCCCTGACATCAAGAGAGAAGTGATGAGCCCAATGCTGGAAAGAGGAGGCCGTCTTAAGTGTAACCGCAGTGGATAGAAAACGATGGGAAAGACTAGCATCAAGTGGGCAGCTTGACTCAACATTAAGCAAGGATACATATGGAATTCATAGGTCCGTATTGAAGTTGGCAAGTACATTTGTCATCAAGTGTTGTCGATACGTAAGCACTTAAAGATTCATATAAGGCATAACGACATATTTTTATCTCTTATCGAAACTTATGACGATTTTTATCATGTCGAGTCTATTTTCCTCCTTTCGAATGCATAAAATAAGTCAACACATTCACACAACTACCGTGCACAATAATTGTGGAAAAAAGATTTTCATATAAATAATTCGATTCCAAAAATGTATTTTCAATGTCAAATATGTAATACTAAATATTCAAGACTCCTATTATATGGTTCATCGTCCTTCTAGTACAAAGTAATCTAACATAACATGTTATGAAGAAAAAACAAAAGAAATATTGAAGAATCGACATCATCCAATTAAATTTTGAATTGATTCTTCGAGTCTTGGCATCAATTTTTGTGTTTCTTGCCTCCTATGCTCTAAAACCTATATAAATGTGTTATAATACGTGGTAAACTACTTCTAGATGACCCTAAATCTTAAAAAGAGCCCTAAGATTTGTCTCCATAAAAATTGGAGTTACATAAGGAAATCGAAAATTTTTGATCAGAAATGTACTATACTATAACATAGTACAAATGCATGTTATAGCATAATTTAATGAAATTTAGCTCTGAAATTATCTGAATAACACCATTCGATCGCATGGTATATTACACTAAATTCAGCCTTGGAATTATTTGAATAACACCATGTGACCGCATGGTATATTACACTATGTGACCACATAATGAAAATGAAAATTCAAAAGTTTCGTTTTAGTCCCCCAACTCCATTTTCTCTCTTTTTTTTTGCTTTTTCATTTTTTTTTCTCGCTTCTTCTTCCAACACTTGTTTTTGACTCTTTTATATCTTCGTTTCTTCATTGTACTTTGATTCCTGAACTTTATTTTCTTCCATTTTAGTCTTTTTTCACTTGTTTTTACTAAATTTTACCATATTCATCAATGTCGTCCTATGAAACATAATTTATATAAAACGAAGTCATATTCCACCATATTTGCCAAGGCCTAAGTAAGTGTGTAAAACGTAGGTCGTCAACTTGACATTCTGGCATAGAGCAAGCGACAACTCTCATATATGGTCTTACTAAAGTCATATTGTATTATTGAATCTATAATGTAAATTTAGAGAACAATAAATCATGAAAAATGACAATAACCTCTTAAATCCTTTCTAACTCTAGGGTAGGGATGAAGACAACCTTTGGTGTGTCTGTCAGTGGTTGTTTTGGGTTCCGTAGAAAAAATCTGACAAAAATAGCCTTCAGTTGGTGGTAATTTTATTAAGGATTTTGCTACAACAATTGGGGGGCTGACACCCCCCTGATTGAACCCCACCAATAGGTGGGGGGTCCCATTTTTTCGCGTGGAACCCCCTCATGAGTAGGGTTTGGTTGAGATTGTCAACCCCTTGTTGCTATAGCAAAATCTTTTATAAGCTGATGAAAAAGAAAATTAATTTTCATTTTTATTTTTTAAAAGGAGCAGATGTGTGAGAGATTAAATTATTTATAAATACGTGGAAATCATGCCACAACTGTAATAGCGCTGGGCTGTGATGAACAAAATATTTGGTGGGCTCTGAATCTGTTTAACCATAAACTTGACTGGTAAGAGAGATTAATTAATAACTTAAACATGGAAATCAAGCTCTTGTTTAAACCCATTTTAATGTGATTGTGGGAGAAAAATTACTTTGGAATACTGACTTTTTCAAGAATATGTGGTTAAAAATAATAAAAAAATTTGAATTTATATGTAATATTATTTTATGAAAGAATGTATTGTAGAAAATAATTTTTTAAAAAATATATATATTTTGAAAATAAGATCCCAAGCAGCAGCTAAGCTAAGTTGCAAATTTTATACTATTAAGCCTGAAAGTTGACCTCAAGGCTTATAAAACTCTATGATGAGGAATGGGGTCACACAAATAAATAATTTTATGCAGATTTAACAGCAGAAATGGACCTAAGACCTGATAACAAGGAATCGAAAAAGACCTTTATATAATGAGGTACGAAACCAAACAATGATTTATCGATTTTTTGAGCAGTCGCGCTTGATGAAATCCAATCCACGAAATATTTTGATTTATGGACTTTGGAATTCTGATTGCATTTACACGAAAATAGTTCTGTTGGTCCTCGTTTTTGCTTGTATTAGGAGGAGACAATACCCACTTATGAAAGAAATTAAAATTCAAAAAGTCATCTTACTCAAAACCACAATTACGACATTTACAATTAAGTATAATGCTGAAGATGTCTAATACTGAAAAAGGCAGGAAATAAATTAATAACAATTTGTAAAGGTTGATGCGAAAAGTGCATTTAAAAAAAAAATGTTTTTAGAGTAAATAAAAAATGATACAATTATCTTATTCTTAATTTAAAAATGAATAATGTTTATTTTTCGTGGAAATTACAGAAAATGAGTGTTTTCAAGATTTCAATTCATAATTAAGAGTTATCGATTTTTTATTTCAAAAAGTAGATATAATAATAATAATAATAATAATAATAATAATAATAATAATAATAATAATAATAATAATATAAAATTACATCACCCCGCACCACCCTATCCCACACTACCCAACCCGTCTCTATAACCCAAATTCAATTACCCCTAAACCTTAAAACCATTTCTTTCTCCTCTCCCTCTCTCCACCAAATACTCATGGCGTCGCCATCCCTTCCGACGACGACCGTTCCCCTCCCCCTTACACCATCGCTTCTTGTACCGCCACAGCTCAGCCTCGCACCACCGTTACATTGCACTGAACCACCTAGCACCAATTCCCACCACTTAGCCTCGCACTAGCATCGTAGTGTTGTGCCGCCATTGCTCAGCCTTGCATCATTGTTGCGTTGTGCCTTTCCACATTGTACTAGCCTAGGGATGCCAACGAGTCGAGCCAAGCCGGCTCACAAATCAAAACTCAAGACTCGAGCTCGGCTCGAATAAAATCAAGCGGGCTTTCTCGAGCTTGAGCTGAGCAAAAGCTTGGCGAAAAAAAAAGGCTCAGCCTGAGCTTTCGGCTTGGGTTTAGCTAGTCGAGCCTGAGCAAGGTTGACTCGATTTTTTTTTTATATGGCACTCGGTTGCCTTAAGAAATGCAGTCGCCTGCTGCCTTAAAATAACGCAGCTGCCTTATTTCTATTTTTTTTAATTAAGGCTCGAGCTCGAGCCGGCAAGCCACACGGGCCTGCTTGGGCTCGGTCCGAAACCTCAAAATGGGGCTCAATTCTACCAAGGGCTTGACTTGGGCTTTTTCCCGGCCGAGTCACGGGATGCCCGAGCCGGTGAGCATAATTGACATCACAACACTAACCCCCATATTGGCCCGCATGTTAGATGTTTCGATTAGCTGTGCAAATCGATGTTTTTTATCTTGGTTTTGAGTCGACAGGTGCGGGACTTTGTGGATGAAAAGGCAGGACAAAAAAAGTTATGTAATTCGTTGACTGGCCTATTGATTTAAGGTATGAGGGTGTGGTGTTGGATGCCTATTGGCGAAAGGAGGAAGATTTAGCCGATGTGGGTTGTGGTGTATGATAATGGTGGTGGTTGCAATGACGACGATGAATACAGATTCAAATCCCGTTGCAATTGCAGTGTATGATAATGGTGCGTTGTGGTGATTGTGTAATGATTTTGGGTGCGGTGGAACTGTTAGCCTGTGTTGGTTGTGATTATGGTGGTGGTGTTGCTGGCGATAGTCCTTGTGTCACATTGGTTGCAAAGTAATGATAATTTTTGGTAGTGGGTATTGGTTTGCTTGAGATGGTGGTGTTGTTGCAGGGAGTTGGTGGTGGTTTTGGTGAAGATGGTGTTGGCAGCGATGTGGTTGGAGGCAATGACCAGTAAATAACATGTGACCAATGAATAGATAAATTGTGACCAGTATATAATGTGACCTAAAAATTTGTTAATTTGTGATTGTGTAATACGTTGTGACTTATAAAATCTGTGATTTATGATAAATAAATAAATTGTGATCTATGAAATTTTTTGATTTGTGATCGATAAACAAATTATAACTTATAAATTTTTTTATTTGTGATTGTATTATTTTGTGATCTATAAAATTTTTGATTTTGATCGAGAAATAATTAGTGATCAATTATTGAATTGTGACCAAATTGTATAGAATTTTGACTTTAATATGTTTAATTACTAAAATACACGCCTAATTAATTATTTTATAATTAAATTTTAATAATATCTGATTTTTGAAATTTTAAACATTCTTTCTTAGTTTTGAAATGGGTCATAGTTAATCCACTAGGTCTAAAATGGATCGCGTGAGCTAGAAATGGAAAATTTCGTATTTGCTTTATTCCAAAAAAAATATTTCATAATTTACTAAAAATATTGGATGATGTATGAAATATGTTTACTTATACTTTCTTCTAAAATTAGACCATATACCGCATTCTGTAATTGACACTTTTTTTTATTTCAACCTATTTCATGTTCTCCATTAATGCCATTTCCTAAATTGAATAAGTAATTCAAAAAATGATGATGACCAAATAGGCAAAAACAATAATTGCCAGTCTGTTGAATAATCACCATGTGATTCCATACTATCATCATATGTTTCAACATCATTGTGTTAGATAATCAAATGACAAACATTTTTTTAAATGAATTTTGGATTGCATATACAGACGCATACACTATTATGAAATAAATTAATTTTTTAGAGAATATCAAGGCACAATTATATTGAAACAAGAACACGAATTTCCATACACAATTTCATTGTGTCTTCATCACGATTTTCACATTATCAAAATACATTCTGAAACATAACCACTCATTGTATGTATATACTCTTATTAAATTTTAGATATAAAATATATACAAATTGCACAATCATGCAACAAAGTCCCAATCAACAAAAAATGAATCAAATTGTGGATATGTATGATATGATGTGTATTATTTTTTGACAGTAGATCTATAGAAGAACAAATTGTTGATTAGGTTTAGGAAATTTCTTGATGGGTGACTCAAGGGAGAGACGATATGTGGAGATTTTAGTTTGGAATACGAAAGGATACGATTTTAGGAATTTTGTTATTAATTTGACATGTTAAGGGCATGTTTGTTGCAACATAATTTGAAGATGCATTTGTTGAAGTAAAATTAGCTAAGTAATGAATGGTATGTATGATTTGATTAGTTTTTCACATTTCTATTTTACTAGATAAAAACAGTATTTATGGTTAAAAAAAAAAGTTGCATAGTATATTTTAAATATTTTTTGAAAAATAGGTGTGTGACATAATTTCCTCAACTCAAAACTCTGGACTGGGAAATTGGGCTTTCAGCCTTAATGGTTGCCACAACTTAAGCCTAGCCCAGTTAATACAAATCCATCGGAAAATCATTGTGCATGGCACACAGTAGAAGATCGCCGAGTCAGCGAGTCACTCACCAGGTTCGTTATTGTCTGAACTTATAAGCTGGGAAGTAAATTTATTCATGCGAAAAAAATTATAATTATGAATCTAATCGAACATACAAAAAAACAGAAATTAATTCACACACTCTTGAACCTGCGAAATTTTAACGGGTATGATTTTATTCCAACATTTTCTATTTATTATTATTCGATCATTTTAATTCGCATATTCTTTTCTTCAAATCTGGAAAATTGGCCTCTTTATGTTTATGGTTCTGATGTGCACACACACACACTCACCCACGTACGTTTTATGGTATATGGAAATTCGTTCTTCTGTTATCGTCATTTGATGATTTGATCTATTTTAAACTGATGTGATAATGTATATCGATGTGAATGGATTCTGATGCTATAATAAGGTATATGTTTTTGACATTTGAGATTTTGAACTTTTGATGTTATGAGAATTGAGATGCATAGGGTTTGACAGTCGTGCATGAGTGTGGAAAACTTTGTTGGCGGTGATGCTACAGAAGAAGATGAAGGAATTATAGGCGGAAAAAAAAAATGATATAGCTAATTGAAAACTATGGCTGGCTGTACAGATTTTATTCAATTAATTCATATTTATAGATAGATTTGAATAAATTGATTTTGCGATAATCATTTTTAATATGATTTCTTTCTCTCTTGATGTGGCTCTAACACAAACATGTATAATAACAGGTCATCTTCTCCCGGTGTGAGAAGCAGGATTTATTGAAACTGGTTTTCAGTTTTGATGAAGAGAAGAATGGTCGATTAAGATAATTTTTTAGTTTCTGAAGGTTTTTGGTTGGTGAGGATGGCATAGAATTTCAATATTTTCTCGTGCAAGACTTGAAATGGACGCTGATACCATTACAGATGGATCAGCTTCTAGCGAACATTTTAGTGCTGGTGAAATGGAGGCAAGTGGAGACATTACACGAGAAGTAGGAAGTGCAGCCAGAATTTTAACAAGGGTTGATCTAGATTTAGCGCGTTCTGCTGAGAAGTTGGTTAACTTGGACATACTTGTTTTACATGTGGCAACAAGAGAATATGATTTTGAGACTTTCGTTATAGTGGAAGAATTTGCGTCGGATGGTTGTGTTGAGAAAGCATTAGAATTTGACCTTTTATCTGGGTTTTTGGACTCTGAGATCAGAGAACTGGACAGTTTTCTGTTCACCCTTCGGAAGGAGATTCTTAGTTTCTATGGGATTATGTCTTCATTTGAGCAGCTTGGTGTAGCTTTCAAGGAAATGGAAGAAAATATGAAAGATTGTGAAGAATCCTTGAAGCAATCATTTGAGCAGATATCTGAAATAAAGGTGCAATCTGCCAACTTCCAGAGGATCTTATTGACCACTGCTGGAGACGAAAAATGTAAATATATTTGAAACATTTCTGAATTCTTTTAAATTATTTATTATTTCGGTTATCCCTGCATCCATGAGAACATTAAATCTGAAGTTCCCATATACAGCTTATTACAAAATTATAATTCTTAGTTAATTATTTGCCTTGTGTAATAATAACTAAGCATCTTGGCAGGGAAAGATGGCGAGGAGGTTGCAAGTTTAGAAAATGGCCATCTTTTAAATCTGAAAACAAGTATTAAAATGCAGACTGCAGAACATCAGAGGTATATTTTGAGGATGCTGGAGAGGTCTTTGGCTAGAGAATTAGAACTTGAGAAGAAGTTAACCGTGTCAAGAGGAGCTGAAGAAGAATTAAAACTCAGGCTGCAACAAGAAGTTCACTGCATTGTGAAAGAATCTGAAGTTGCCTGTGAAAGATTGTTTGAAGCAGATTATACCGCAGAAATTCTTTTGGGAATTTCAAAAGAACTATTGAGACGAATCCAGATAATACAATTTAATTTGGATGGTTCCATTCAGAGAGAAGGAGAGTTGAGATCTAAATTGCAGAACTCTGAGAGCACCATTAAGGAAATGAGAATTTTGATTGAAAATTTGCAATCTAAGGTTTTAAAAGCTGAAAGTCAGACTGAGAGAGCCAAAGAGAAGTGCACTCTATTGCCAGAATACAATTCCAAACTTAGAAGAAATAAATTATCAAAGGTGTAGAACGGAGTGCTTGGAAGCATCTTTTCGTCAGGCTGAGGAGCAAACACGGAAAGTGCAAGGTACAAGCATTCGGACCAAATTAATAGCTTGGTTACTACTTGACTTTACTCCTAAAAATCTTTTGGAGCCAAGTAACATATTTCTTTCTTTCTTTTTCCTCCCTTTTATTCTTAAGGTTCGAGTAATCTTAGGGAGTTTCAAATTTTCTATCCTGGATAAAAAAATCTTGTAACTGAAGGCTATTTAGTAATTTTAAGTTCATTCGCATTGAAGTCAATTTTGTATCCTATGTTGTCTGTCAAGATTTTAAGAAATGTCATGTATTAATAAAATATTTAGCAAAGCCTCGTGTTATTCTTTTGTAGAATAAGTTCTGGTTTTTCAGCTATATTTTAATTCCTAGGATTTGATTTGCATATACTATTTGTTTTCTCCAGCCCTAATTTCTCCTCCCTCACCCAACCAAAAGAAGCCATCTATGCGTGGATTTGATTTCTGGTAAAGTATTTTGACATTTTTTCATTGTCATATGAATAGTAAGGCATACTAAAAGATAGTAAATTTGATTGCTTCACCATAAGTCAGCTATTACAAGCTAAGAATTCTGTGCAATGCATATGCAGATATCATCATTAAAAATGGAGAAAAAGATTGCAGTAAAGCATTTGCAGCAAATGTACAAGGATACCTACTATGTTTCCAAATGATGCCAAAGGAACTGTCAAATAATTTATGTTCTCTGAGAATGATTCCGAGAAAGAAAATTCCACTAATAGAACTACTGAGAAAAAAAGGTATGCCTTCAGCTACCAGTTACAAGGTAGGTGGTTTAGTTTATATCCGTGGTTATTGGTATTCAGTTTTCATGTTTAAATATGTAGGAAGTAATTCAGAGTTTAGATAGAGTTGAAGGAATTCTTTTTGTTTGCTAGGCATGGCTTGGGTGCACCTTTCTTTGGAGCCCTGATTGAGGCCCAATAGGTCATTATGAATCATCAAATACAATAAATATGGATTGATGGATATATAGATTGTTTTGAGGCATATCAGATGTATTGGCTGAATTTTTATTTGCATGGCTGCTCTTGAAAGTATAGAATATGAAAATGACAATATACTGCTTATCAAATCCAATCCCATGGCTGAATAAACTGGAATAGAAGGGGATAACATAATTTTTCTGTTGTGAAAGGTAGTGTATTATATCCTATAAAGAAGTCCTAATATTTATCTTTTTTTATCTATTTGTTTTTGAAATAGAAAATCAAAGAATTGATTTCTAGTTAATACGGAGATTGAGGCAGAAGTGATAACAAGTTAGGTTTCTCAGACATATTCACTACTAGTACTCATTCATAGGATCTTCTTTTATTATCCTTACTCTCTCTAGATACACATTCTCATTAATTTCAGATTATGTACTTTTAACTGTCATTTTAGAATTTCATTGGAATTGTCAATCGTGGTTAGACATCCTGCCTGCCTGAATAGATACAGTACTCTCTGTTTTTAAGGGAGCAATGTACCCAGAAATACCCTTGAGACCAAGGTGGGATATATCTAAGCTTGAGACTAAAAGAATATAGATGCAAAGCAGCTTAATTCCAAGTACATCTTAGGAGTTCTTATATTAGTGATTTCAGCTTTTGAAACCTTTCTTTTAACAGTAGAGGAGGTAATTTGGATGGTTTTGGTGATCTTGTCCTTAGGCAAAGAGAATTTGAAGATGTGGTCTCTCTCTCTCTCTCTCTCTCTCTCTCTCTCAGAGTATCACGTGCTTGTCTATGTGACTACGTTGTAATGGAAAGGCTGTAATTTCTTGTGACCCCTTTGTTGTAATGATAGGTAATAGGTTCTTACAATAAGTTTAATATCAATGTCCCAAGTTTATTATGAAGAAAGTGTCTCTTGCCATGAGGCTTTTTGGTTTTTATGGGACCTCTTCACCCCAACCCCAGAAGAATAAAGACCCCAGGTATGGGAACAAGTCAACATTAGGGGAAGCAAAATCCTTAAAGATGGGTTTGGTACCATTGGAGTGGCAGAATAGTGTTTCCTACATGACCTAATTTTTGTTAAAATGAAAAATACCGACACAAACACAAGGTTCATAAATGCATGTTGAATCACGACTTGCAGTGAAAGAAAATGACAGAGAAGGGGAAGAAATCTTGATTGATAATTCAATAATAATGTTGTAAATATAATGAAAAACCTGTGTTCCACATCTAAGGGTATTTCTAACGAATAATTACTTAGAATAATAAGTAAAACTGATAAAACCTACTTTAAATTTAATCCTCAAGTCTTTAGATTGTGAAAATGGAAATATAGGTTCTTACCACTACCAAGTTTTTCAAGAAAATGCATCTGAAGAGCTATTTGCTCAAAGAAACAGTCCTCCATGAATCTCTTTCTGCTTTGTAATACCAATGAGTTTGCTTTCATGTTGCTCTTTTGCTTTTCAACACTTACTATAACATGCCATAAAAATAAAGATTAAACAGTATTAATAAGAAAATAAAAGAGATGCAAAGATTCACATGGAAATCCTGACACGGGGAAAAACCATGGGGGAGCACAAGGAGTATACAGTATAAACAGAGGCAAATAATAGTAACGAGTCATAAAGAAAATATGATACTCTTGGCATTCAATAAAACCTCAAATATAATCATTCAAATACTAGGTATAAACCATAGGGAGATTGGCACTCACCAAATCACTGGCTGAAATCACAAATCAGAAAACTTAATTTTGGAGTTCCCAATTCACAATCACTTCATTCAGATAGTTGTTCATGTTGTCTGGACGTGTCTGCAAAATATTAGCCCATTCAGAGATCAACATGTAATGAGGACTTCTTCAGATTCCCGAACTAAGTGTGGTAGCTTACTGTCTTTACCCTAGAATGGCTTTTTTTCTCTCCTCTTAGTTCGGAATCTGCAGCTGTAAATCTTGATAAAAGGCAACTTCTATGCCTGCTTCAAGATGCAAAACTTAAGTGGTTGGGCACAATATGAACAGCCACGATTCGAGTGTTATTCAGAAACTACCAAGCATCATTAACTTCCATTTGGATGATAACTTTAAATGAGCATAGGATGACTAATAATCTGAATTGACCAAGATAATCCAAGTCAAACTTCCTCCTAATAGGAGGGAGATCCAGTAGGATTTTAATACACTGGAAAAGGAATCTCAAACTTACTTTTTTTAGGATGTTAGAAAAGCAAGAGACTGCATATGCAAGATGACATAGCATAAGCTTGCTATCAGACACATAAACGGTCCATCTCATCTCACAAATTAACATATCCAATTTCTCACATATCTCTTTCATCTTGGATATGTTGATTTCATCTTGTATATCTTATCACTTTCCTCAGAACCTAGATATGTTGATTTCGTCTCGCATTTATCTCAATCCGGCTGCTGCCTAGTTCTTTTTTCGGCCTACCATACCTTATCACTTTCCTCAAATTTGAAACCTCAGTCCACATCTCTACATCAGCATAAATATTCAATAGAAGAACATAGGCTGAAGAGTCCTCAGGGTCCAATTGCAGAAGAGAACTTGCTGCTTTTTCTGCCACCTTGACATTCCCATGCATCTTGCAAATACTAAGCGGGTTTCTCCGAATCACATCATCAGCCTGGAAAGGCATTCTGATTTCTTCAATAAAGCGTCAGTGCATCAGTAACTTGACCTGATATACCTAGTATATCCACTATAGATGAGTAATGTTCCAACTGTGGATCTAATCCATTGTCAGTTTGCATTGAGTTGAAGTAGAACAACCCTCTTTCAACAAGACAAATATGTGCACAAGCGTGAAGAACCGCCACAAAAGTTGCATGATTTGGTCTTATGTTCTGAAGCTGCAGTTTCTTGAAAGTTAGTAAAGCTTCTTTGCCAAGACCATGATTAGTGTAGGCACAAACTATACCATCCCATGTAACAAAATCTCTATTTAGTGAGTTCTCAATCGTCAACCTAGAATTTTGCATGTTTCCACCCTTTGAATACATGTCAACTAGATCGCTGTTAATGTACACATATGATTGCAAGTCCTGCTTGATAATTTGATCATGGATCTGCTTCCCAAGCCCTACCATTGCTAGACTAGCATAAGTATCAAAATTGTGGCAAATGTGAAATTATCAGGTTTGACTCCCATTTCTAACGTCTTAGAAAAGAACTTTTGAGATCCCTCACTTTGTTCATGAGATGACAACCCGGACAGGATCGTCTTCCATGAAACTGTTGTCTGTTCCTCTATTCTGTAATGAAGTTTCTCTTCATCTTCCATCACTAAGCACTTACAGTACATATCCACTAGAACACTTCCAACAAATGAGTCCAACCCCATCCCGGACTTGAATAACTCTTCCATGGATCTCCCTACCAGAGTTCAGAGCTTGCCTACTTGTACGAGCTTTTAAATACTGCCACAAGTGAATTAATCTTGTTCCTTCTTACTTTTATTCTGCTCACAAGCAGCAATTATTGCATTCCAAGAGACAGCATCCCTTGTTTCCACTCTGTAGAATAAACACCAAGATTCAACCAGTTCTCACATTTTCCATATGCATCCAAAATGGCATCCATGTACTTGAATTCCCTCGAGATCTTCGTTAATCACTGCACAGGCACTAAATGCACCAGATAGGTTTGTTTCATCCAAATTAGGACCAAACTTCAACAAGTGCAGGAATAATTGCAAAGCTTCAAAGCGACAATAGAGCATATCAGCAATAAATGCACCATAAGATTGCAAATTATGGTTTGGCAACAAATTGAATACCTTCCTCGCATAATATAATTTGTTACATTTTGCATACATATGATATCCAACCTCAAAGAGACAAACTTGCACAAGACCTCGAGCCCATCTCCCTCTCTCTGCTTCTCTTTGAACAACTCTATCCAACCTCTTGCTTAATGTAAAGAATAAACATTGCATATTCTTATATATTTTTATCTTCATAACTCTGAAAACTTGTCAAATTCTTCGAGTTCACCTTAAATAAATATAAAAGTTTTAGAATCATGTATAAGGTTGTCCGATTGTAGAGGAGTAAAATGCATCTATTTTAGCAAATAGCAAATATGGCTTTCCTAACTACCTAATATAAGGCAACAAATAAAGGTATTCTGTGGTTCATTATGGAGAAGTTAGTGCAGCATTTAATTTCACTTTTTAAAGTTTTATCTTCCTATGGCAAAATTTTAACCTGCTTACTTTCATTTATTTAAGTCTCTTTACTTGGATGTCATTGATACTAGAAGTTTAGGCAAGAGTTTGCTAATGGCTAATACTACATTGTCAAACTTAGAAAAAATGCAATGCTCATTGACACTAAACTTGAAACTATTGCATAAATAACATTTGGTGTTAGACGTTGTATATAGTTCTAATACTAGATTTAAATTAATGCATTGAAAGAATGTGTTATATTGTATTATGATAGATAGTATTATCCCCATCTCAACTTTTAAAAAGGTTACATCATCATTATGCTTAGTCAGCATATATCGTTGCTACTAGATATCGTCGGTTTGGCAATAACTGACAACAATTACATGCAATATGTTGTCAAGAATGCCGTGTGCTGATGAACCAACAACAATTACATGCAACTCATCGTAAAAATACAATTGTTGATGAACTGACAATAATTCCATGCAGTATGTAGTCAAGAATGCCACTTTCTATGATTATAGACAACAATTACATGCAACATGTTAAAAACGTCAATTGTTGATAAATCGACAACAATTCCATGCAATGTGTTGACAAGAATGGCACTTCCTATGAATACAAACAATGATTACATGTAATGTGTAGTTAAAAACATCAATTGTTGATGAATCAACAACAATTCCATGGATAATGTTGTCAAGAATGCCACCTGTCAATGATTGTATGTAAATTTATTATGTGTAACTTTAAGTTACAAAAATAAAACTTAAATAATTATACAAGACAACCCTACTTCATCTCAAGCTCTTCTTAAACGTCCTTAATTTTTACATCTATATCTAATTTAGTCCCTATTTGATAAATCAAAGTTAACAATTAATTTTATTAACATATTTTATGGGATTTATAATTTTTTAATCATATATTTCATCAATTTTTATCAAAATTTATTAAAAATCTGATTTTAAATCCCTACCAAACATGGGCCTATTTATTATCTTATATTCCAACGTAAAAAAAACAAATGAAAGGACTAAAAAAAAATATATATATATATATGGGAAAATTGCTATCATAAATTAAAAATGGGGAAGAGAATGGCAGAAAGACTTGGAAAAAGTCAAAAACTCGGTAACCAAACCCGGTTCCATTATACGACGTCGTAAAGAAAACCATATAAGGAAAATATCCTTCGCAAAACAAAAATCTAAACGTCAGAAGTAGACAAAACTCTTCACTTTTTCTACAATTTTTGTCATGGCGGAGGTATCAAACCTCCACCGCTTCAACCACTGCCAACCACCGCAGCAACAGCAGACCAGAATCCCAATTTCCAACCCCTCCACTGGGCCTCATGAAGAAGAAGAAATCTTTGACCACAGTCCATTTGTCATCGATTTGGATTCATTATCCCCTCCCAATAACGCGAACCCCTCTCTCTTCATACCCAATGATTACGACAATAACTTCAATATCGGGTTCGATTTAAATATAGAATCCGAAAATTCGGTTTCTGATTATGCGGATTCATTGGCGGACCCGAATTGCTTTTTCTGTGGAGGGGAATATGAGGAGGAGATAAATTTTGTTACGGATCTGTTCGAGTCTCGTGAAGCCCATTTTCCCAACCGCCCGATTAGGGAGTTTGATTCGGGTCTCTCGGAGGATCTGGGCATGGAACACGGGTTCGGTCCAGGTCTCGTGTCAGCAGCGGAGGTTTCCCCGCCAGTGGGGCTTAGGGTTGTTGGTATGGATTCGGAGTCTGAATCCGATGAAACCGAGGTAAATTCCGGGTTTATTGACAATAATGATGATGACGGCTTTGGGGTTAATTATCTCATTAGTGAAAATGAAAGGGAAGAGTTTGAATGGGAGGAGGTAAATGAGAGAATCCAATTTGATGAAAGTGAGAATTTGAATTATTTGATTGATAGAATTGAGGAAATCTCAGTTTCGTCGGACTTTTCGTCCTCGGAAGGTGAAAATCTAGAGTTAGGTGATGGGATAGGGGGAGGAGGAGAGCGGAATATTGAGTGGGAAGTGCTCTTGGCAGTGAATAATTTGGACAGGAATATTGACTTTGAGAGCCAGGAAGAACATAATAATGGGAATGAAGTTCCTCACCTTGATCTTTCAGAAGACTATATCTTGACTGTGGAATATGGTACCCTTTTCGGGCAATTGGTCGAGAATGAGAATAATTTAACTGGTAGTCCACCTGCTGCGAAATCCGTGGTAGAGAATCTACCTTTGGTGGAGTTGACAAAAGAGGAAATGGGAGAAAATAATGACACGGTTGTCTGCACCGTTTGTAAGGACGATGTTTTGATTGGGGAGAAGCTGATTAGAATGCCTTGTTGTCATCTTTATCATGGGGACTGCATTGTGACATGGCTCAAGATTAGGAATACTTGCCCTGTTTGTAGGTATGAACTGCCTACAGATGACTTGAATTACGAGAAGAGGAAGACTGAGAGGAGTGGTGTGAGAATTGCTTCTCGCTCTGTTGATGATCTTAACACGAGGTACAGTTTTGAACTTTTGCCTTGAAAAGGTGTATTAGTCTGTAGAATATGGCAATAGTGGGTATATTTTACCTTTTCAGTTAGCATGAATTTCCTTTTTGCATTGTTAAATGACGAGGTAGAAAAACTTGTTTATCAATATTTGATTGAACTTCACTTGAATTTGTCATTGTATAAATTCTATTTTGCGACGCCATGTGTAATGGTATAGTGAAAAATTCAGATGAATGGAATTTTAGAGTTTTTGAGTCATCCTGATTTTCTGGTTTGACGCTTACGATGAAGTTGTTGATAAATATATCTACACTTTTATCGCGTTTTGATTTTAATTGGTTGGGTAGGTGGGAATCTGTCCAGAATTCGTGTATTGTGTTGATTTGTCAAGCTGAAAAACTTGGGAGACCCAAGTTTGTATTGGAGTAGGCAGACTTTCGATGTCTTCTTGAATGTAATTTTTGTGTAATTTTGGGGGCAAGCTCCGACCCCCGGATGCCAGTTCTCATTTAAGATAAGGAAAAGAAATAAGAAAAGATTGCCTGAAGAGGGATGAATGGGTGGATCAAGGAGCAAATTGACTTTTCATTCTGCATTGAGGAAATTTTTCTGGTATCTTACATTCTTAGACGAGTATAGCTATTCTCAGATGATGACTACTGACTATGAAGCAAATATTTTGTTTGCATACCCAATTTATTAGCATTTTCTTGAATTAAATTTCTTGTATGCAAACATGATTCATTATCTCCATCTCCCGGCATATGTTGAAGTAGAGTATAAACATGCAGTTGCAGACTTTTCAAGACTCATTCTAATAAGCATATGTAATTTGTCATAGCTTTTGAGCATTTTGGACAATCTAGACAAAAGTTGTACCAAGGATAATGCCCTTAGCTCTACATAGAAATTCGTTGAGTATGCAAGAATCTTTCTTGTAGTTTAATCTTCTAGCATTCACTTGCATCGCTAAAGCTAGAGATATTTCCCAGCAGCGTCAACTTCTATTCATTAATGCTAGTTGGACATTCTATATGAGGTGTCAGTATCGTATCTTATCAGCTGAAATACCTTGACGCAGATGAAGACCTAGGTTTGTTTTTTGTTTCTTAATAATGTACAGAAGAAAGAATATGCATGTGTGTAAGCTCTCAGTTTATTATTTCCTTTGACGAGTTTTAAGACAGTTCGTTTTTGCAATTGGAACGTTATTAGGAGACTATTTTGCTAATTATTCAGCAGCAATTAATAACTATCCTAAAGATATTTTGACGCTTCTCGTCATGTCAAGAAATGTTGTTGCGGAATCTTGGGGTGTGATTATTTCAGTGTCCTAAGCATGCAGAAAAAATGTTACGCAAATATACAGAGAGCAATGTCCACAGTAAAGGGTGGTATACACATTGATCTAGGCATGAAAAATGTCTAAATTGGTATACACCAAATGAATTGATCACTTATTTCGCGTAACACCACCTATAATCTTTTAGTTTCCAACATTTTCCAATTTTCTGTGTAAACAAGACTTTAATATTTCATAATAAAATGTTGATTTTATTTTTTGGCGATAGCTCTATTTAGGAGTAGATGTGGGTTGAGTTGGGTCGACTTTTTTTTAACACAAACACAACCTAACATGATGGATTTGATCTAAGGCCCCGTTTGATTACACGAAATTTTCCATGGAACTTGGAATTCGAATTCCAACTTCCACTTTTGGCCTGTTTGATTGACAAAATTTTCCAGGGAATTGATTTTCCATGAATTTCTAGGTACAACACCTTAAAGCGTGATTTTCCAACTTTTTTTTCCTAGGGGATAGGTGGTTTTTGGTTTTCCATCTTATTTTTATTTTTTATTTTTTGCTTTTTTTATTTTTTTTTTAATTGTTGGCAATGGGAACAAATTTTAGGAATAATTGTAAAAGAGGATATCCCTGAAATTGACAATTTCCACGTAAAACAAAGTCAAACGAACATCAAAAAATACTTTTACTTCAACATTTTCCACGTGAAAAATTTATACAATCAAACACAATAATTTACAATTTCCATGAAAACAATTTCTAGGTAATTCAATTCCCTGGAATTCATTTTCTTTCCATGTAATTTTCCTACTTGTAATCAAACGCACCCTAAAGTCAAATCAATTCAACCCAATTATTGGTTTAAATCCAAGACAATGCAACCCAAACCATCAAGTTTGGGTCTGTTTGGATTTCTGCCTAATTATAGATGGATCTTATTATTATTATATTTTTTTTGTTGGACAATATTTTAAAGTTTGAAATTACTTTAAAATCCCCACTTTCTTAACACCTATATGAGGACTTTTTTTTTTTTTTTGAAAAATAATGTATAAATAAGTTTAAAATTATGAAGCATTTTCTTTTATTTTTTGAGATTCATTCATTACATCGTAACGTTCTTAATTTTTACTTTATCGTCAAATAACTTTGCATTTGTACATAGTGTTCTTTTTCAATTAGTCTATATAAAGAAAATGGACGTCTAAAAATTTTAGGTCCTCTCTCTTATCTTCATTATTGTGTCTCTTAAGTATTTTTTTTTTAATTCATTGGCTTGGATATTAATTCATAATCAGAGGCCCAACCTAACCCAACCTTAAATTTGATTTTTCAACCCAACTCAACCCAATTGAATTGAAAAAATCGGGTTGGACAGGTTGAGCGGTTTGAATTGGATTTTGTCCAATCCTAGCTCTATTATTATCTTCAAATATCGCTCTCTGATTTGTTGATATGCCGCAACCTAGCACCTCGATCCCGTAGTGCTCCAAACAAAAAAAATCTCCGCTCTACCTCGAACCGACTCTTAATTTGACATTGATTATTGAGTTACTAAATAATATAAAACTCCTAGATAGAATGAGCATCTTCTTCTCTCTTTAGTTAAAAATTTTATTTTTACTTTCGATTATAATATAAATATTTTGGATATTACATTTTTTTGTTATTTTATTGTTGGGTTTTGAGGTTATAGATTTAGTTCAAGAAAACCCTTATGAAAAAATTATTTAAAATGCACACAATTGGAAGACCCAACTACAGTATTAGAATGCGACTCAGGTCTGGAAAGATGTCAAGTCCTTTTTTTTTTGCCTACAGATTGACCAATAGTGAAATCGTTATAAACTTTAGTGTCTAAATGGATCAGAAAAAAAGTTACTGACCAAATTAAAATTTTGCTAAAACATTAGTGACGACTCGTGAAATCACAATTTTCATGTAAAATGTAGGATTTTAGAGAGACTAGTATTATATAATTGATCTTGGAGTATATATAACTATTAGTCATGTAGTATGTGATGTCATGTTGCATGACCTAATGTCTTCAGAGCTGACTAAATGATTTCTTCTTTGTTATCGTTCATGACTCATTTCAATACTAATTATGATCGGAACAAATGACTTGAATTTGTTCTCTGACATGACAACTAGAGAACTACCAGAGCTCTAGTCGAAATAGGCCTCAATGTATCATTCAAATAGTGAGTTGGTCTCTTAACTCTTAAAAAAAATGCGAAATTGATCTTCATGAACCTTTCATTATATTTATTTAATCGGTCTTCAATGATTGAAAGAGTGAAAGTTATCTAACTATCTTTCTAAACATCACATGCTTGATGCTTCTCTCGTGTCCAATTTTATGAAATTAGGCTTCGTGGACCTATAAAATTTGAAGTGAGGAAAGTTTCATTATGATGAATGTGGGAAAATCTAGACGGTCTTGTTCATTACGGGACTAATTGTGAAACAAAAATGAAAGTATGAGGATTAACCTTCTCATTTTTAAAAGTTGAGGACAAACTTGTTATTCAAGTTATAGGTTGGGACCAATGAACTAATTTTAGGTAATTTACCATAAGAACTCGACACGGGGGCAAAAATCAATAGTTCCTTCACCATAAAAAGATTAGGAAAATGCCTCCTGCACAGGATCTGTTGCACAGACCCTGTATAGGCGCGCACACACATGGGGATGTGTGTGCGCGCCTGTACAGGGTCTGTGATGTGTGTGTGCGCCTGTACAAGGTCTGTTCATAGACCCTATGCAAGCAGCACAATTGAAAAGATTATCATATTTTTTGGATAGAACAAAATAGAACCATAAATGTTTTGTTTACACCGAATAAAGTGAAAAAAACAGTGCCCATTTACTTTAAATAACCAAACACCTTTCTATCCACATTCTAAGTGGATCAAGAACTTGTAACAAGTACGTAAGCCCATTGTTCAAATGTGTCCAAAATGGCTGTAATTATTCAAATGAAGCACCCACAAATTATATAAATTATTTTTAAAAATGTTTTTGAAGTAGATAACAAACAAATTTAGGATTATATAATAGGGAAAACTAATAATGCTGGTTTATTTATGTATTTTTTTAGGTAAAAGTAGAGACTTGAACAAGAAGATGATTCAAGAAGATAAGCAAACGATGAACTTATCCATACTAAACCAATCTTTGAACATCTCTTGACCTCATTATGTATAAGACAAGAAACTTTTCTCAATTTAAGCATAATAATTTTTGTTTCTGATGATACTGTCACAATTATATAAAACAAGATTTTAAGGGAAAAAATTTATTGCACAATACTTTGTTTGTTGTTTAGGTTGGAAAAATGGGTTCGGGTTACAATTATGTTCCGACTTTGTTCTTGATCCTATAGATCATCCTGTTCCTATTTCAAGAAAAGTATTTTCAAATTGGTAAAAGAAAAAAAAAAATCGATGCTTCTGAAAGACAAACAATAGTTTAATCCCATATACCTAAGCAAGTTGAGACAAAAGCTTTGATTGGGATGAACACTTGATTGCTGTATGGAAAATTATTTGCCTTCACTACTACCATGGAAGAAAAAACTTTTGTCAAGGTTACTCGAGTGGGGTGCATGAATGGCTTACATATGGTAACAAGTGACAGTACCACAAATTTGAGAGCCCCATCATGCGATGGGCCAAAGCACCTGAATAAAGTTTCCATTGTGTATTATTTATGGGTTTTGCTGCAAAAACGGGGGGACAAGGATTAGATCCAGGGCCTAGGTGGCGCAATCTCAACCCTCGATTTAATCTTGGAAGAAATAGCAAAAATCCATTATTTATACACCTTATATTAATCTAACAAGTATTTTTCTCACATTATTTTTTGTAATGTTTATACATAATTGTGTTTATAAGAATAATTTGAAGTGAGCCACTCGAGGAGCAAGCTATTATAGCAAGCAGTTAGAGTAGTATGGAGTTGAGGAGCAAGGCAGTAATTGTTAAATTTTGTGCCCAAATTAGGGTAAATTTTTTGAAAAATATTGTTTCCTTATTTTTACGTGATTTTATTGGAAAAATATTATTTCCTTTATTTTATATTATTCTTTACATTATTTTCTTCTTTATGATATTTTTA